CTGCATTGTTTATCATCGCGTTGTTTATCTGTACAGAAAATACTCGTCTGTTTTCCTGTCTGTCACTCTCTCCCTCACTCCGCAGTCACCGGTGTTACTGTAACATATAATTACTCTGCAGACTCGCTGCCTGTTTCTGTAACTTCAGAGGTTCAAAGAGACTGTCGGAGTGTGGAGGAGAGCATTGTGGGAGTTCCAGGTGGATTTCTCGATAATGAGTTAGCACAGCAGTGGAGTTGAGAGTTTTAGTAATGGCTGGCTGCTAAGGCTCTTCCTGGGAGTTTAATGTAAAACAAACAGGACCATGCTGACAGCCTGGGAAAACCAGATACTGCACTTTTCCTACTTCCACTTCAGCGTTTGAGCTGTCCCTCATTGAAAAAAAAAAGGAATTCTAGGAATAATTGTGTTGCTGAAATGACTTCTATGAATCCTAATTGAAGACATTTATGTGACTCAAACATTACTGTCTTCAACTTCTTATATTTGGGGGGGGGAAAACATACAAACTGTCAGGCTATTCTTGTTTAAAATACTATAAAAATAGCTGAATCTCAAAACAAGACCCTCCAAATAAAGTATTAGGTTTACTTGTTTTGGAGGGGTCCATACCTAAGTTCCCCGTACCGTATGTACACTATGTTTTCTCCAGGTTAAATATTGAATGGCGTGATTGGTACTTTTTGGTCATTTGATTTTTGTAATGAAAACAGGAAATGAAAAACGAAAAATGGATGGCTTTTAGTTTCACTTTATACTCCAAAAACGGGAAAATGGTCMGTTGTTTTATTTTTCTCAAACCAGAAGTTTATCACTGTCGCTAGTTAAAAACTTTTCAATAACGGGCAGCTGCCTGTAAATAAATAAATGCTAGCTAACTACATTTTCATTTCTTTAACTAACTGCAGACTGTATATTTATTATTAATATAGCTACCCTAGCTAATTTATTTAAAAAGCTAGTTAAATAGCACCACATAAAAAGGTCTGACAGGATGAATAAACATGTTTTACTTTATAACGAGCTAACCAGGTAACTGTAATAATTAAAYACTAGATTAACTCGTTTTACATTCTTTAACAGGGGTCAGTTTGTGAATCACTAATGATTCAAAGTGTTTCCTGGAGCTTCTGCAGCTTTAAGCACATGAAGCCTTTCTCCAGGAGGTCCATGGGGAGGAACTTAAATCTGCAGCAGGTTCCACCGGACACCATTAAGTTGCCTTGAAAACAGTGATAAACATTCGGTTTGACGAAAATAAACAAACAAACTATTTTTTCCTTTTTGAATTRAAATACATAAATAAATAGTCACCCATTTTTTTGCTTTGTTTTTTCAATGTCTGTTTTGAAAATGAAAAACTAATAACCAAAAAGTACACAGACTGTCTTTCCCTTCAAATGTCTTTTTAATCTAAATACTGAAGAGCAGCGCAGGCATTGTACCAGGAGACATGCTGTAACGATCTGGGGAAGATAGGAACAGGGATGAGCCTGTTTTTGGTGCTGATGAGCACAAACACACCACGGTGCTGCCTGTTCCACACAAGTGCATGTGTTTCACGCAACACACTGCAACTCTCAGATGAATCTTTCTGCTGAATCCGGTCCTTACTGCACATACTGTACTATTTTTTTCCTTCCTCCATGATGAGTTCTGGGTGGGAAGGAGGATGAGTGGGAATGTAATGCAGAAATCATAGGACAGAATGCCCATCACAAAGCTACAGCCACTCAAGCCAACCACCTCTCTTTACTTGGAGATACTCTCCCATAGATTCACACTGGCAAACATCCAAAGTGAACTGCTACAATCTTTGCAGGCAGCCTTAAAGGAAGCCGAGACCACTGAAACGAAAGACAGAATATTTTCTGCAACCATATTGTGCATTGAGATATTCACTTTTTGAATAACTTATCTCATGGAGAAATGAAGCAGACTACCAGGGTAGAAAACAGCACCCGGTTGAAAATATAAACAATCCGAGGTAGAAAGTAAGTTCTTGTTAAACTCTAAGAAGGTTTTTTTTTTCTTCCCTTGAGTTGATCCACTCTCGATGTGATAAACACAATTCCAGCACAACCTCATAACTAAAGCGGGAAGACCAAATTCAATATTGAATTTGACAAAGATTTGACATTTTCAGCGCACCGGCTCTCACCTCCAGAGGGTGCACGGACATATAGATTGGAATATTTAAAAGAAGCCGACAGAGAAGAATGAATGGCAGAAATCAAGTCACAGCCTGGATGCAAGARTCAAACGGCATCAAACACTCCACCACTTTCTGAACTCACTTCAAGTTTCTGGGAGGAAAAAAAAAAAACGTAGCCAAGAGCAAAAGGTGGAAGAAGCAGAGAGAAACGGACACCCAACCAATTTATCCAAAGCTCTTTGGCAAAGTTACAACAATCCGTTTGAGTCAAATATGGAATTACACCTYCTGAATATTTGATATCTTATGGTATTTTACATCCTTTGTGACAACTGCTTTAACTCAAACGTCTGACCACAACAGAAAAAGTCTAAATTAATTTCAAACATGACAYTTACTTAATTTTGGGAGATGGTGATTGGCCGATACGAGACGCCGATTTTATCCACCAATGTTATATCTACAGTCACAAAGGTCTGAAAATCAGCCACTGTCCCCATTGGCTCTAGCAAAAAGTAGTATACTTGAAATTCATTTTAATAAGTATACTTGAGTATAAGTGTAAGTATATCAAGTATACTAGGCACCATGTACTTGTAGTATACTTGAAAGTATACTGATTTAATACTCGTTCGTACTAAATTGGGACATCTTAAGTATATACTTTAAGTATGCTGTTATAATGTTAGTATACTTTAAGTACTTGTCATTAAGTATACTAAGTATATACAAGTGTATGTCGCTAAGTGTGCTTTTATTTACCATGGACAATGATATAAGTTTACTAGCAGTTTACTAACAAGTATACTTCTAGGACTAAGTTGGCCCACAACAAGTTTGTGAAAGTATACTCAGAAGTATACTGAAARTAATCTTCTATGTATACTTTTAGTTTAATATTGAAATATACTACAAATAAAGTGCACTGCTAAAGTTTATCTTGGCCAAAACTTTAAACATTACTATAGACTAAGTATACTTAATTTTTTAGTATACTTTTAGTACAAGCCAAGTRTAGTTTAAGATAAACTTGGTTAAGTATATCTCAGAAAAGTTCATAAAAAGTAAACTGGAAGTATTCTATTGTATTTTAAGTTTAAAATTAGGATACTTAAAGGATCCTTGCATATACTACTTTTTGCTAARGGGAGGGCTGTTRTCCAGTCCAAGTTTGTAATGTTTCAAGGGTATTGTTCGGTGTTTTTCTGTAACAGAAGATTGGAACAGTGAAGGTGTATTGTGACCTGACCCTGTGACATTAAAAATTGGTATTGGCCAAAATCGTAATCAGCAGGTCAGACTTTTTTTTTTAAAGAGAACAGCAATCGGTGCACTCCTTATTAGAGCTATTTTGCTAATATATGAATTTGAAATAGAAATTTAACATTTAACTCCCAACATTTTCTCCATTATCATTTATTATCTGTCGGGAAGCATGCACTGCTCTGGAGGATTTAGTGGTGAAGTCATACAGTACAACACATAACTCTCACACCGGGTCATCTGGATATGTTATTGTGTTTCACTTAATAAGGTCAGGTTAGAAGTGACAAACAAAAGAACTGCCAAGAATACCCAGCTGGGGTGGTGATGCATTGTGTGAGATCTTATCTCCAGGATACATGCGTGTGTGAAAGAGTGGCACTGGAAATTTACGAGAGTTGTAGGGGGGAAAAAAAAGAAAAAGAAAACTGAAAAATCCTGTTATTGGCCTTTTTTGTTTCATACAGTCAGCCTCTGTGCAAAAAGATTAGAAGATTTTAAAGAAGTGCATAATCTTCTTTAACAGCTTATCAAAACTTTAATGATTTGGTGATAAAGAGCACAAAGTTAAGTAGCCGGTTAAGAGGATAACTCCCCAGTGCAGTCTAGTGATTAGTAGATGAGAATTGGGAGACTGAAAATCCGGGTTGCAAATCCCACTCCTGCCACTTATTCACTTTGAGGGAGAAGAAGCTCCATTTCAGCTTTGGGGGTATTGTCACGGGGTAATCATTTTTGAAAAGTGATAAATGGAGCCCTTTTCCTCCACCCATTGGAATCCGGCGCTCAACTTTTATTTACGTATTTATTTTTGTCGTGTGCTTCTGCTTAACGCCCGCCACGACCCAGTTCCACTGATGGGAGCCTTCTGCTTTCATGAGAAGTGACGTTTCAGACTCTTCTTCTTGATGCTTTGAAAGCATCTTCTGATACCATCTGAGCTCTCTACTGAACTGGACAGTTTTAATGAGGGTTCGCTCGACACGGTGCTCCACTTTGAGTAATTTATTCAGTTATTTACTGCGGGTCAACCGAGGCCTCATCTACATTTCAACAGATAGTTTTTAAAAAATGGAGGCTTTCTGTGGTGCTCAAACCTTTATTCAAACTAGTCATGGCCTACGATTTTCTAGTTTTRGTGTCACATTAAATAAAAGTAATAYACATTTAWATAAGTTCCAYACTAGTGGTGGCTATTAGAGAACATTTGTTTTATGTTTGCGTTATTGAGCGCAAACCTGTTGTTAATCCAAGCAATCCTCTGCTTTCTCTATTCATCCTGTGATGCAGATTTGTTTTTCAAAAAGAGAATAAATTGTCTTGTGAAATCTAATTACCTTTCTAAGAGTCACTTAGCTTTTACTAACAACATTTATATTTGTAGTATTACATGTAGGCTACGTCCTTGTCTGTGCAAAAGTAATTTCTGTGTGACTATTTGTGACTTTGAGGAGAGGGGGGAGAAAGAAAAGAGAAAAAGTGAAGAAAAGACGGAGAGAAAGAGGAAGTCAGGCAGGAAAGGAGTGGATGGAGGAYTGTGGCGTGCTGCGCCGTGGAGAGATAACCGGAGCTGTTTGCTTACCTTTGCTGTACACCACGCAGTTATTTTTGTTGTCTTCTGCTCCCTGCCAAGTCACATCCAGCAGCCACCTGGGGCCGGCGCTCAGCACCACCGGGACCGTGCTCTTCGTCTTCTGGTTGAGGACAGATAACAAACACTAATCATTTGCTTATTTTGGTGATTAAACAAATATTAATAACCACTGAGTTACGCTCTTCGGCTCCACTGAATGGCAATAAAGAGACACATTAAGACACTAAACAGCGTGCAGCTGAAGTCCAGACCAAACCTACTTTTTTTTGTTTGTTGCTGAGAAAATTTGGAAATCAGTGTGTTCGTGTGTGTGTGTGTGTGTGTGTGTGTGTGTGTGTGAGACCATCAGACAATGGCTGCAGTGGAGGTTGGAATGATGAAAAACGGGTTCAAGAGCCTGTACTGTATCAAAAAGGAGAAACTGAACATCCAGCATCAGATCATCCAGATTAAGAGAAAAATCCCAGGTGTCCGGTAATCGTAGAAAAAAAAAGGAAAAAAAGAAAAAAGAAAAACTGAATAGGATGGTGACTTTCATGGAGAAGGAAGTGAGTGTTCTGCAGTGAACTTTGGGCACATTGTGCTTCGCTATCGCCAGGATCTCACTATTTCCTGAAACAAGCGGGGAAGAATTTAAAGAATCAGTATCCATTTCAAAGGGCGATTGAGGTTAGGGTTTTTATAATATGCCGGAAAATTATTCTGAATCTGTAAGGTCATTTTTCTTCTTGGTCAGAGGTCAAACAGGGAGTTTTATTCTTCAGAGAGAGAGAAAAAAACAGTAAGATAGAGAGCAACATCCAGCATAATAGATTCTCCCGGTGCAGTGTCACCAGATTGGCTTGTTCTTCAGAYGATTTCTGTTCTATTTTACAAGCTTCTTTTTTTCCCTTTCCTCTTTTGCTTCTTGTGGAACTGCACTGGGTTGTTTTATGTGTGTAGGGGTGGTGCTCATATCTTAGGCAGCTTTTACTCAAAGCCACAGTGTCAGCCTTCTCAGACCAGCGCTTTCAAACCATGCTACCTGCTCATCCCACCCTTTGTTTGGACGGACCAGAAATGGTTTAACTAAGAGGAAATGGGTTGGGATTTCAGTCTCAACTCTTTTATTTCTTCTCTTTCTGATGGAGCCGGGGACAGGAGGACACTGTCCATCTGACTAATGCAACAGAAAAATACCAGCCCTCTCCTGTGCTTTTCACTTATTTCTCCCCCGCAGAAGGCAACAACCTTCCAGGATAAATGCAAATGTCACTTGAGCATGTTAAAGGTCTGAATTGGCACAGATCTGCACAGGAGATGAGCACTGTGCTCTGGTAGTGCGCCTGCATGCCCCCTTCCTCCCTCCTACTCGTCCACCCACCCATGTCTCTTTTTATGAACTCGATCTAGTYGGAGGCTGGAGGACAGATTTCTTTCTTTCTTTATTTAAAGAGCATCATTTACAAACAGCAAACACTGCTCCTGGAGCTGATAGGGATCTGATCTGTGGGCAAAATTAACCACAAACGCACTACATTAAGGGGGTTTTATTTTAACAGCCTTTCTTTACATATACAT